GGAATAAATCACAAATTATTAAAAATAGGTATATGACATACTTAATAAAAGTTGAAGAGTTTGGTAAAATCTATCAGAAAAAAGTGATAATATATAGGGTGTACCATTTAAAAAATTTGAAATTTCTTAATTTTAAGTAGTTGAAATTCATAAATATATTTTGAACACCCTGTAGCATCTAACTAAAATATCTTTACATAGGTCTTTTTCTATATCTCTATAAAATTCTCCTACCAAATTTTAGTTCTTCACCTTCAGAAACAAAGCCATTACTGACAATTTTTTATCACATTGCAATCTAACATTTGTTTAAACAAATTTAAATATTACAAAAATTATTAATTTTAGGTATATAACATTATATATAAAAAAGTTATGGAATTTTACGCCGAATCTAAAAATAAAATAAAAAATAGGGTGTTCCATTTAAAAAAAATATGTTATATTCGCCACACTTTTTTGAAGCACCCTGTATACTCTATAATAATTTTAAAATGTGTATCTTAACCGTCTCTATAATTTTTATATTTAATATTTTTTTGTAAACCTCGAAACAAATGAGATAATGGACTTTACTCTATCGTTGACTCACCCTGTACAGACAAAACTTTTTAAGATTCTAAGGAATTTTATTCTTGGAAAATTCATATTAAGTATACTGTTTCAGATATTTTAGAAGTCATATTATTATTGTTTCTTGCCAGTTACTCTAGGAGAGATGGGTTTTTTTCATCTTTACTAGGGTAACTGCCAATACATAAACAATAACAATATGACTTTTCAATGACATGTTGTGACATTACAAAAACAATAAACACTATTTCATAGATGTGTTGATAAGGACAAAAACAAAGGCATGCTTTTAATGCTAAAATTGTTATTAATTGTTACAGTCTTCTTCAAAACGAATATTTCCAACAAAACGAAACTATTAAGATGAATCAAAAACAAAGAGATAAGATGCACCTTCACGATAAAGTAGTTCTTAAATTCTTTTCTTTGTTAAACCATTCCACAGTGTGCTTCAAACTATCGTCAAAATAACATTTTGTTTTCCCCTCGTATAATAAAAAGTGGGGACTATTAAAAAAGGTAAAAAGTCAAATAATTGAGCAACAAATTAAAAATAAATTGAACTTAAATAATAAGAAAATTTTAATGTGTCCGATTTTTGTGCCGGTCGGTGCACATTCAAATATTTTGAACACACTGTAAATATATCATTAAACTAGCTGCTCAATGTATCAATTTTATTATTACTACATTTAATAAGGTGTCGAAATTCAGGGGAAAGAATATGTAGCACACAACAAGGGAGCCTAATCCTAACAGGGGGAAAAATAGACGAAAAAAAGAAAGAAAAATAGTATAAGACAGTGTGAGGTGTGGTTGCTTCGTGCGTGGTTTTTAAGATCACCTCATCGACACTGCCTTCTGACATTGTTTGCGTCTTGATGATGTTGTAGAGCTTAGCGTAAGGGGCCTTGATTAGCTGCACCCAAACCAAATCAAAGCTTATCAGATTCGACGATTGGTAGAAAAGAAATATCTTTGTGTACGGTTCGATATGAAGAACAAAACTATTTCCGTAGATATATGTTATATAAAGTGTTTAATAACAATCAATTAAATGTATAAAATACTTGTTATTCCCAATTAGTTCGCATTTTGTTAAATTACAGAGGTCTTTCAAATAGTGTGTCAGATAGTGTGTTAGATCAAGAAAGTGGCGTTCTAGAACGAGAGGTTACTATAATATATTATAGATATAAATATATTCTAGTAATCTCTCGTTCTATCTATAATAGAAATAATATACAGGGTGATCCGAATTGTATTCGGGAACCTTCGGCAGCACATTCTGCTGATAAAAATAAGTAAGAAACTTCGTATAAATGTATGCCCTAAAATGCTTAGTTTCGGAGATACAGGGTGTAGAAGTTTCATTTTTATTTCGATTTTTTCCAATTCATTTCTGAAGTAACGTCAATATTTGGATGAAAATTGATGTCTGGGAGTTTTTCGATATGAGAAATATGATTTCGATGTCAATATGACTCCTATTTGTCGAGGGCGCCACCTATATGTGTTTAAACTGTTTGGAAGAGTAATAACATTTCATCCGCACCTGTATAAAACTACTGTGTGAATAATGAAAAAATATGCATTTCCGTGACTTTTTTGTCTCTTGGTAAAAATCGCTACGAGCAACACAAGATATTTAGAATGGAAATAGTCAATACATATTATTATTGACAAAAAATAAACACGTTCAGTAGATAGTTATTTGACTGAAATAATAAATTTGGTAAATTTATATTTTTTAAATTAACCATTTTTTAAATTAACCATAAATTTTTCTGCGAAAAAATGATGATAGAACAGTTTCTACCAACTATATATATATATATATATATATATATATATATATATATATATATATATATATATATATATATATATATATATATATATATATATATATATATATATATATATATATATATATATATAGATAGAACTTTTGATACCAAAGCATTTCAAATTTATGATTTCAGTGTTAATAACTATTTAGTCAACTTGATATTTTCAAAATTTCAAATTCATGTCAATGATGATAGGTATTGATAATTTCGATTCCAAATATCTTGAGAACCATTACTCGTAGCGGTTTTCACCAAGAGATCTTTTTTACATAAAAAACATAAATGTATATTTCTTTACTCAGTAGTTATAGACAGGTACGGACGAAAAGTTATTACACTTCAAACTAGTTAAAAAAATATATAGGTGGCGCCCTCTACAAGTAAGAGTCATATTGACATCAAAATCAAATTTCTCATGTCAAAAAACTCCCAGACACCAATTTTCATCCAAACATTGACGTTACTTCAGAAATTATTTGAAAAAATTGAAATAAAAATGAAACTTCTACACCCTGTATCTCCAAACTACGCATTTTAAGACATGCATTTATACGAACTTTTTTACTTATTTTTATCTAAAGAATATGCGGAAGAAGTTTCCGAAACACAGTTCGGATCACCCTGTATATTATAGTCTAGTCAATAACTTTATTTGACTAGACTATAATATTGTGAATGTAAATTGGGAATGATTCTGGAAAACAGAGACTCTAGAGAGATGTAGGATATAAAATAATCTGCAGATTTATTAGTAATTAGTAATAATTATAACAAAAGCAGTGTGTATTAAAAAAAGTACTGATGAATTTTGACAACAAAAAATACAATAAATAACCAAAAACCCCATATAACAACAATCTGAAGAACAAATTGTATCTATTTTAGGTTTTAACGTCTGATGAATTGTAAATTTTAAACAGACGAAGCAAAATTTTCAAATGTAAATCTTCAATTGAGAAAATAACACCAACTGCATGACAATTCATTATTCCAATTACACACTATTTGATAGCCCTATATAAATTAATTAAATTAATTTATTCAGTTAAATATTTCACCTAATTTTAAATTGCAAAATTAAATTACTTTTATATATTGTTCAATATTCAATAAGAAAGGATGCAAAAATAAATTTATTTACAACCACATAATATGTAATACTGACATTACTGACTTTTAAAAAATTTGAAAGTGCCAAATTATCTACATTACTTCCCTCTTCCATTTCCTTCACTCGGTTTTTCCTATTTCTCGCCTCATTTAATTAAGCAAAATATTCTTGTAATATCTTTATAAAATACTTATCTAACATCAACAAAAATAAACAAGAAAATTAACAATAATAACTGAAGATTTTAATACATTTATTTGTTGAAAGCTAGACTTCTTTGGCTTAAAACCTACATTCTGCCGTTTTATAAAAGCGACGAGTTTGTAATATTTTGATATGTCGGTTTTTTCCCTTAATTCTAGCATTATCCATATCATGCTGTAGGTAACCCAAAGAGTAGATGGCTTTTTCTGCCTTGCCATGCCGCTAAAATATGCCATCAAGACACTGTCTCCGAAGCAATATTCTGGCATTTCTTTCGGCACACCATTTTTCGTATACTTTCAATGCTATTTCATATCGCCCCCTACTTTTCTCTGGAAGTAAACTGGCTTCTGCTCCTTTTGCAGCTTCTGTAAGTTCTGGTGGAGTACCAATATTAAAGTAGTCTTCATTATCAGAACTTTCCGACAACATTCTAGCTTTCTATGTTATATAAATTCGAAAAAGCGAACGAGAAATTCAAAACTGTCACTTAGTTGTTTGTTATGTTATTGAAGGTTTCCGCCATAACAACCACTGGTACCGGTAACTATAGATACGGAAATAAAAAAGAACAGAAAACAACAAATTTTCGCATATTTATTTTTTTTCCAAAATAAAATACTCTCCCTATTTCTTAATTAATGATGTGGTTGTAAATATATTGGTTGTATATATAATAGTATACAAACTTTGGAGGAAAGTTTTCATTATTGTCTCGAGATTTAGTTAATCTCGATGCTACGCGTCTCGATTAACCATATCAATCTCTCGACAGTAATGAAACACTTCCCTCGTCGGTATGTAATATACTATTAATCATCCTAGTTATTATTTTTAATATAATTATATGTTCGTTACATTATATTAATTTAAATAAATTAATTTATCTAAGATATAATTAATGGTTCAATTAATCTGAAAATTATTAATATAATTTTTCAATTGGCATTTGAAGAATATTTTTTAAAACTAAAATGGAATTATTTCAAAGTCTAAAAACGTTATTATATTGATACAATAATTTACAAAAATGTAATTGCAGAAAAATACCCCAATATAAGTAAAATTAGGTGAAAATTAACTAACTAAACAAACACGTATAAATACAAATTGTTATGCGATATCCATGTTTAAATAATTAGCACGTTATTAGCAACAAATATCGATACGTAAATATTATTAGTTATCACCGATAATTTTCCAATAAAAATATATCAAAACTCTAAATATAAAAGTTCCACTATAAGAATAAAGCTTACCTCCCAACTTTCTTTGGTCAGTTCGGCGAGTTCTTCGCCTTGACTACCATGACGACTAGCGGATGGTGTTGTTTCCTCACTCCACAGCTCTGTATCTATGTCTACAAGTACAAAACCTCGTTCTTTTACCTGAAATAAATTATTATAATAAATAAATTGTGTGTGCACTATAACTTCTTACTAACAGCTATTAAATTGAAGGATATTTATTTATTTTTTGAGTTGCTTTTTTTAAACTTCAAAAAATTAGAGTTAATATAAAACCGTATACAATTCTAGCTTTATAATTTTATATTATTTTTAATTTTTATTAAAAAACGATAATTCTATTACCCGGGCCGGATAGCTGTGGCCATTAAACCAAAATACTACTACATCTATATCTCTGACTACTACTAACTGCTACTAACCAACAATTTGTTTTGTGTAGTCTGTGGTCTGTTTTTGTTTAAATGTTTTGTTCATTATTCAGGTTGGGGATTTATTTTTAAATTAATGTTAATCGTTAGGCAATCAGTAAACTCAAATAGAATATGTATTTCTTTTGCATAATTAAAATTGTCATTCTAAATTTTACATAACCAAATTGTCACTCTAAATCGCTGCCTTTTTTAGACAGATGTCACTTGTCTTGTCATTATTCAATTCATTATTCGAATTCTCAGAACAGTGTTAACAAAAATTTCACCTTAAAATAAAATTTTAATCAATCACAATTGTTTATCTCCATCATTTACCGAAATAATAATACAGAAATTACAGCTCAATTACAAACAATTCGTTATTTATAGTGATTTACAGTAAATTTATTAAATTATACGAATATTCTCGTTGATTATTGGTTTAAATAAATATGACAGTGTCCTTCAATGAAAATGCGAGTTACTAACTCTAAATTCTAATTCTGAGCTGGCAAATGAGCTAGATGCTTTACCAATGACTAAAGAATATAAGGACATGTAACGCCCATATACGGGCTGCAGCAGAATTTGTGACCTTAGACACCATTCTTTTGATGGCAAACAATGAGTCATCATCTGGTCACCAGCGACAATTTTAGGGATTTTTAATAGTTTGTGTGTAGTGAACTTTGTATAAACTTTATTACAATGGTGATTAGTTGTTCAGCTTTCAAGTGTAAAAGCTGCAGCGATAAGAAAGAGCCAGGAGTTACATTTTATAGATAAATAAACAGTCGCTCCACCTTTTTAGCGTTTTCTTATTGAATTCGATAATTATTTTTCTGATATTATATGTACTTGATGTGTCCTATACGTCGATACGAGTCTTGTACCTATTGTTAACATTTTAATACGTTTTTTTCGTAATTAATTAGTATGATACCAACGTATACACCATAGGCGTAGTCAAAACATTTATCAAAAAATATAAATATCTCTTCAAACAGCTAGGTTAAGAAAATACGTGCCACGGCAATGTTTGGTGACATCGTCAAAATTTGCTCTCGGGTGTTATTTGTCCTTGGATTCTTTAGTCATTGTCCTAGACCGTTATTCAGAAGCTACCAACCTATCGATGAAAATATGCACTAAATCAAGGTTGGTACAGTTTCAAATTTATTATAGTGATTTTCTTAGCCGCGTATGGCACAGATCGTTACCCAGTGTTGCCACAAGCTTATTTTTCATCGGGGTAGATTATGACGAGATAACAGGGTTAAATTGTTTTACAAAGGTAGATCTACCCCGAATGGGATAGCTGTGGCAATACTGCCGCTACCACTTTTCCTCCCGCTAGCTCGCGCGTCACGGCCGTCTCGCATGTGTCTCGCGGCCGTCATTCAAGGCCGTGTGTCAAGGCTTTGAACTTTTACTCCCAACGCGCGTAAAGAAGTTTCACTTCAATATAATTCGGATTTATGATATTTTCTTTAAATAAAACTCTTGCGATTTTGAATTTTCTCACTTTTTTATTTATATTCATTTTTTTCATTTGGATTTGATGAATACGACCGCTTGTCGAATTCAAATTATTAATTCAGAATTGTCCTTTTGATACTACTGACTCTGATACTAATACCACTGACTCTAAGAGAATTTAACAATTAAACAATAAATAATTTATGCAATTTAACAATAAATAATTTATGCAAGCGACTTCTCGATTTTAGGTTTAAATTAGAACCATAAACAAACAACAATATTGTACATTTAAGTTTAAGTGGTATTAAAAAAGAGTAATTAACGCTTTATTGAATGCAAACACGTAAAGCATTTTTCGAGACTATTTTACATCCTGAGAGACCATTAAGTAAACGTACGTGTATTACGTCAATATAAACGATTAACATAATTGTACTGTTAAATATAGAATAATATTTGGATACATACATGAAAAATAATCAGTGGTTAATATTAATTTAATCTGGTGGACACTGATTACAAAACTTTGGACTATGCAAGGTATTTCTTAAAGAAGATATATAGGGTGATTCACGGAGATCGTAAGTTATAGTATAGACGTTTAAGTGGGTTCATGACCATTATGACTTGAGCACAAAAACGAAACTTGCAGTGTACAGAGCAATAATAATCCCCACCATGTTATATGGGACCGAAACTTGGGTGCCGTACTGCAGACACATGCACGCATTAAACAAGTTGCAACAGAGACACCTTAAGCTTGTTTCATATAGACGCGAATCGCGAATTGCGAAAAGCGATTCGCCAAAAAATATTCGCAAAATTTGGACCTATTTCATACAGTCGCGAATTTTTAGGGACATTTCATTTTTGCTCCACTGAAAGTTACCAAAAAAAATCATAACCTGAGATAACTTAATTTGTTTTATACATATTTATTCGTTTTACGATCTTTATTTTATATTTTATAGCATACAATATGAGTTTAAATTTGTTTAATAATTATGAATATCGATTACGATTGTGGGATTGGAATAGAATAAGGTGTAAAATTGCCATTTACTTATTGTTAAAACGTAGAAGAGAATGGGTTTATAGCACAGGTTTATAGGTCATTTATGGGCCATTTGGGACATGTGAAATATTCAAATTTCGTAAGCAACAAGGTGCTTGTCGCAGTTTAATTCAAAAAATAAGGAAGAAAAATGAGAAAAAATTTAGGAATTTTCACAGATTGTCTGTATAGGAGTTTGATAACTTGGTTGAAGTTGAAAAATTGTCGCCATATATATCAAAAACATATTATGTACGAGAACCCATTTCAACTGGAGAAATGCTTTCAGTTACTTTGCGGCAGCGTCGTCAAAATAATCGATAACCGGATCACAACACCATTCTGCGCAAACGCGTACCTTAAAATCGCGCGAATATTCGCAAAAAGTTGAAAACACTTTAACTTTCCCGCCCCCCAAATTTTAAATCTTGCGAATCGCCAAAATCTTAAAATTTCTGACAGCGCCGCCATGATCAGTAAAATTGGACCAATGAGAGCAGTTTCGCAAAATCGCAATTCGCGATTCGCGTCTATATGAAACAAGCTTTAGACAACTCTTAAGATCAAATGGTTCCATTATGTCTCAAAAGTATCGGTTCTTGAAAAAACTAACTGCAAGAGTATTAATGTCATGGTTTCAAAATCCCGCCTAAGATGGGCTGGTCATGTATGCAGAATTTAAGAAAACCGCATACCAAAATATCTGCTTTACGGTGAGCTTGTTGACGGTAAGAGGAGGCCGGGTGGACAACTCAAAAGACACAAGGACATTTTCCACGAAAACATAAAGGGGATTAACATGTAGAATGAGTGGGAAGAAGCAGCTCACAATAGAATTCAATTGAGAAGAATGAAGAATTGTAAACTCAGTAACAGCGACAACTAAAAAGTGAAGGGGCAAAACAGCAATGAGATTTTTGTATGTCCGGAGTGCGGTAGACAGATATCATCACGTATCGAGATTTTCAGTCACAGAAAAGCTCTAGAAAGAAAACGCCTTGCGTGACCATCTTCTGATGCGTGTCAAATACTCGTCAGCGAGTAATGGCAGTATCTATGTGGTCGACGCTTATGGAGAAGCGGCGATTTTTCTGAAAATTTAGATTTTTATCTAAAAGCACCTGATAAAACTGTCTAAAATATTTTCGGTGTGACAGCACTCACGGCAGTGACTAACTGTTCTGGCGGTCCGCCTTTTATAGGTTATAATCCACGGTGTTAAACCATTTAAAAAAACGTCTAAGTGTTTCTTATTTTTGAATGGATTTATATCAAACCACGTTATTATTATATATAAAAGTATGTTTTACAGTTTTCCCTTAAAGCAATAAGACAACATTGCTTGTTAAAAATGTCCGTGGACCATATTTTCATTGACATCGGGTCAGCCAATAATTTTCCCAATCAGCTCGATGTATTGATGATGTTGCCAGTACTATTCATCAAGCAATTCTATTATATTAATCAATTAAGGCCGTAACCAAACATAACATAATATACAATTTTATATACTTACTAATTCATTATAATAAAATTAAATAGTAAAAATATTGTAATTATATTCCTGCATATTAAGTGAAAAGTTTTGTTCTTAAATACCTACTACCTATACGTATCATAAACGCATGTTATTAATTTTAATCTAAGTATAATTAATAAAAATAAATTAAAAATTATTAATAAATAATTAATATTATTCTTGTGGAATATATATCAACGTAAAACGAGATGTAATTAACGAAATATCATCGTAACGACAGAGAAACGTCTAGGTTTACTTGTTTTACTGGAATCTATAAAAAAAGCCCTTGCCTCGGATATAGATACCGACACGTTGTGAAGACAGTTCGAAATAAAACAAAATTGAGACAACAGGAGACGGCAAAAAAAATTCCTCCGCACCCTTCTCCGCAATTTCACGAGTAGTTTCGAGGCGTTATTAAAAATCCAAAGTAGGTAGCGACAAACCGAAACAAGTCAAGGCAACCGGAGATAAGCCGAAACGCGACAAAGTTAGGCGACGAAACGCAACAAAGTTAGGCGACGAAACGCGACCTGCTGCGGGCTTTTTTCCGAATAGTGTAGAGGGTGTATTAGAGATTGATATTACTAATAATGCTAAAAATAGCATAGATAGATGGCAGCAGGTACCTTTATGCAAAAATCCAAATTTTGAAAAAATCTTATCACCGGTTCTCCATAAACGTCTAACATACCATAGCCGTAAATCACCTTGTATACTACAGTAGTCTAATTATTATTACGCGACATTTTTTATTAACTTAAATGATAAATAAATAAATACTTAAATAAAAAATTAACTTATTAACTAAAGATGACCGTCAAGAAACTATTACTTTCTGACCTCCCGCTATAGACCTAAACGACAACATGGCGGCTGTCATTATTAGAATTTCTGCGCACGTTCATGCTCATTCTCTCTATCTCTATATATCTCTGGTTTACCTTATCTTCGTCGAGTTCGCCGTAAAGATGTGGTACCCAGGCTTGCACGAACTTGTACAGTTCGTCGACGCGATTCTTGGGTATGCTGAACCAGTACTCGGGTCGCATTTTCTTCTTGCCGTAGGACATCAGTGGCGTCGATTGGGGAATTTTCTTGTTCAATGGCTTGCCCATCCTCAATCTGAGGTAAAGAGGAGGATCTTCGCAGGAACGAGCGGGTCTGGGTATGAGTTCTATAACAAAAATAGAGAGTTAATCTATTTTAAATGTATCTTTATGTGTACTAGCAATTATAAAAACACTACTTGAAAAAACAACAAGAGCTAACCAGAATAGGAATGTAAATAAATTATAGGAGGAAAGAAGAATACATTTAAATTATTATTATATGAACTAAAAATTGTGGACGTTAAATTTGAGCTAAATTCGTCATTTGGTGATCACATATCTAATTTAAAAGACAATCTCTGTTAAAATCATAAAAATTATTTGGAATTATTCCTTTTTAGTTTTTTTTATCGAATTTTACCGAATTTATATTAGAGGAATCGCAGTAATACCAACCATAAGCAGAATCTATTCAAGGGTACTAAAAAATAAAATCGAAGAAGAGATAGTTTTCGAGCTGGACGATCGACTGTGGACAATGCTTTTACTCTCAAAATCACTCTGGAGAAAAGCGTATAGCGTAGCAGAGAGACCCATGTCGTTTTCATAGATTTGGAAAAAGCTTACGATAGTATACCTATTTCAAGACTATGGAAGGAGATGAAAAACTTAGAGAGCAATCCATTGGTTGATTCGGGCCACACAGACCTATTATTATACAAATAACTCTGCAAGAATTAAGATAGGAAATGAGGTTACCAACTCTTTTAACACAACAAAAAGATAAAGAAGACAAGACAAGATAAGACAAGGATGCTACGTATCTCCTACACTGTTCAAAATCTACTTGGACAGAGCTCTGGTGAATTGGGCGAGAAAATGTAAAAATATGGGGCTAAGAGTGGAGGATGACACATTATTTACGGAGGATAACACATTACATTCGCGGATGATCAGTTAGTTATTTCTGAAGACGAAGAAGATCTCAGTTACATGATCAGAAAAATACGAGGACGCAGGTCTTCAGATGAATCTCTCGAAATGTGAATTTATACATAGTAGGCAATGAAGAGATAAATGACCTAATCTTAGACACTTGTACGATAAAAGGTGTGAAATCTAATAAATATAAACAAACCAAACCAAACTATACCTTGAAATAATATTTAATAAGGAAACAGCGAAAATAAAATACAAGAAAGAGTAAATAAGGGTAGAACAGTAACCAGAACATTGAACTTCCTTCTCTGTAATAAACAAATTAATGCATTTATAGCAGCTTAGTCAAAAGTGTAATCCTGTACGGTTCGGAAATATGGGATGTTACAAAAGCCAATAAAAATAAACTTATACTGAAATGGATTTTTTAAGAAGAAGCTGCGGACGATCAAAACTCGAAAGAATAAGGAACGATATCCGAATGCAGATGCAAATGGATATACACATACACGAAGACATAGAAAAAAGACAACTAACATGGTTTGGACATGTGAAGCGAATGAACGTTGACAGATGGCCCAGAAATATATTAGAATGGACGCCTTTGGAAAGAAGAGAGGACGGCCAGAAAGGCGATGACCGCGAGAAACTTGATGGAGACGAGGTTTTTGATAGGAAAGGATGGAAATTGGAGACGGAGTAACGGCAATTTATACCATAATTCACATAGTGACGGCGTGTGGTTCAATACTTGGTTAGGATGTACAGCATTAGAAAAATAAAATTGTTACGCGATCACAACAAAAAAGACTTTTTTTGGACTCAAATCATCAATCAAAAGATCTTATTTTATGAGAAAACTAAAAATCCCGTCCACTAAATTTTATTGTTTTTAAATATCATGTCGCGGGGGACAAAGGGTGCGGGCGGCAAATATTATACCAATTAGATCTAATATTCCGAGCAGTGAGTATTCTAGATAGTGAACGAAGAGATCAGGCAGGTTGAACAAGTTTGTTTGAAAAGGTAAATTTTAACCAAAAATATTTCATAGTTCAAATTTAACGTCATATTTATATTATCAAATACAATAAACAAAACAAATTAGAAAATAGAGTTATAACTAATATCAAACATATAATACCGTATGAGAGAAAAAAACGGCGTCAAAGGTTCGCTGGGGAAAGACAATCGATAATAATTCTGGCGAGGTCAATCCCTAGACGTCATTTACTAAAAATTGACATTAAACTAGTCAAAAATTAACACTAATATTATAGAAATATTAAATAAGGATAAGACATTTCCAGACACACATCTATTTTAAAAAAATATATTTTAAACTCGAATTTTAAACTACATTATTTTTAATAATTTGTTGTATGTAGTGAATTTGGTATAAACTTTATTACAATGGTGACGTATTCAGCTTTCAAGTATAAAAGCCTGTATGAAAGGACTGTTCAACTGTCCTGTGTGCTCCCTTCTGCCATATTTTCAATATATCATTAAAACATGGTGTTTTTCCTGAGATCTGGAAGGTTGCCAAGGTATGTCCTGTTTTTAGAAAAGATGACCCATCACTTATTGAAAACTATAGAGGTATTTCTATATTATGCAACTTTTCCAAAGTATTTGAGATTATTCTACATAAATTTCTATTTTTAAGATCAAAAGCAAGCTTTCTATTTATCAACATGGCTTTTACTCTCAAAGATCTTGTATAACGAATCTCTGTTCTTTTTCCTCCTTTGTCTGTGATGCCATTAATATAAGGAGCCAAGTGGATGTCATCTACACTGATTTTAGCAAGGCATTTGACCAGATTGACCACCATATACTACTCCAAAAGTTGTCTGTCCAATTTGGATTCTCGATCGAGCTTTTATCTTTGTTAAAATCATACCTTGTCGGTCGCAGTCAGTATGTCGAGCTTGAAGGGTTCAAATCTACCCTTTTTACACCCACGTCAGGCGTTCCACAAGGTTCTAATTTGGGGCCGATTCTTTTCAATATATTTATTAACGACCTTGTTTCAATGCCCTACTGTCATAGACTTGCATATGCTGATGATCTTAAATTATTTAACCGTATAGATACTGTCAGAGATTGTGTGTCTCTCCAGGAAAGCGTTGACTTGCTTAGTAAGTGGTGTTTGACCAACAAAATGTTGTTTCTTACTCTCGAACTTAAAGCCCAGTCAAATTCAATTACACTATAAACGAAGCAACATTGAACAGACTCTCGGTTATAAAGGATCTAGGAGTTATTTTCGACGAAAGATTCTCCTTTATTCCTCACATCGATCAAATGGTGGTTCACGCCTCTAGAACACTCGGCTTTGTATTACGTAACAGTAAGCATTTTTCCAATTTATCAACCATCAAAATACTGTATTTCTCTTATGTGAGGTCGAAGCTTGATTATGGCTCAATTATCTGGTCCTCTATTTATAATTATCATATGCAATCTGTTGAGTCGGTTCAACGGCGATTTCTGAAATACGCTATGTTCAGAGAAGACGGAATCTATCCTCAACGGGGTATAGATCATGCGCATATATTGGATAGGTTTGGTGAATTGCCGTTAAGTACACGTCGTGACCTGCAGTCGATGTCTTTTCTGTACAAGCTTGCAAATTTTAAAATCGATTCTCCATCTCTGCTCGAGCAACTGCCATTTCTTGTACCTCGTTTAGGGGCCAGACGGCAACCTGCTTTTTTCCTTGCTTTTTCGAGATCTAACATATTGCTGCAGAGTCCGATTTACAGAATGTGTCAGAATCTTAATCGAATTTCCACTGCAGTAGATGTATTTCATGACAGTCTCCCCACTATTCTCAAAACATTCTGTGATATTACTGGCCATCCCGTTTAGTCTGTGTTAGTTAATTAATTTTTATATTTTATTTTTGTATTTTAGTGTAGTATTTAATACCTGTTATAATTATGTATTTTTTATTTTTATTTGTACAATTTTAAGATATATTATTATTACCTGTAAGTGGGCTTCGGCCTGTCGGAAAAAAACGACTATTTATTTATTTATTTATTTATAAAAGCCGCAACGATAAGAAAGAGCCAGGAGTTGCGTTTTATAAGTAAATAAACAGTCCACTCCACCTTTTTAGCGTTTTCTTATTGAATTTGGTAATTATATTTTTGATACTGTATGTACTTGATATGCGCTATACGTCGATACTAGTTTTATACCTTTTGTTAACATTTTAATACGTTTTCTTCGTAATTAATTAATATGATACCACCGCCACACCATAGGCGTAGTCAAAACATTTATCAGGCACTGTTTGGTGCCATGGTAACAATTTGGTCTCGGTTGTTATATGTCCTTGTATTCTTTACTCACTGCCTCAACATAAAGATAAATCACAACATTCAAGACCAACTGGCATTAAGCGCCATTAAATAACGTCTAGGGCTTAACCTCGCCAAAATTATTATCGATTGTCATTCCACAGCCGTCTTTGACGTCGTTTTTTCGATCGTATGGTAGTAATTATGAGTTGATGAATTGGGTTACTATATTGACCAAATATAACCTAACCAAAGTACCCAAATGCACCAAACCCAATATGCACCAACACCATAAAGAAATTATTCGAAAGGTGAACTGAAAAAAAATTAGTATAGGAAGTCAGAGCATGCTGAAATGCTGTAATGTATACATGCCGAACCTACCAAATAAATTCAACCCATAATTTGGTGAGCGAACTGCGACAAAAAAAAACAGAAAAATAAGCACTAGTTATTCTAAACCTACTTATGTCATGATATGAAGTGTTAAATTATGTTATCTTAGTAATTCAAATGCTGAATAAAAAGACTAGGAAAGATATCTATACTTTATAAGAATACATTTTATATTCATGCATTAGCGACAAAATCGAGGTCATAATAATTTGACAGTTTTCTTTGATGTTTTACTTGACAAATTGAGCGTTTCTAAGTTTATTTTATGTTATTTCTTGTTTATTTTATGATTGGTTTTATGCAATGTGTACAAATATGTGTAATAAAGGTAAAGCCATTCTCTCGGGACTTGAATTAGGGTGAGATTATTGTGACTAAAATCATGTGCACTCCCCCGGAAGATCACAACAATGCTATAAAAATCGGAGAACTATTGGAATATGTAGCGGAATTCAATTACCTCGGCAGTTTGATTT